TTTTAGTTTTGTCTGTTAGATAGGGGAAGGCTTAGTTATGCAGCTTCTTATCTCAAGTAAATTTACAAAGTCTAAATCTGTGCTTGGTCTTAGTGTCTTGGCTAGCTTGGTTCTTACCAGCTAGCTAATGGGGTGTCATTTTGTATCTAGGTCAGTCTACCTCTGTAGGTACAGTGCAGGGGTGTTCAGGATTTAGCTTCCCACTGGTGGACATAGTACAAGGAAGATTGTAGCGCTGGTTAGGGCTGGGATAAACACCCAAACGTAACTGTACCGACAAACGCAACAGTCCAGGTTGGTTGATTGGTTGATAAATGTGCACGTTCCCCTTGACCGAAATTTGCTTATCATGGGTCTTACCAAGTAAGACATCGATGCCGAAGTGGCCAAAAAGTTGCAGATCCTGGTGGTGTAGAACAAAAAACTGCAGACGCAGAATCAAAAGCGAAGTGTCATTGCAAAAATACAATACCAGAGCCTAATAGCTCATCATCAGCCAAATGAACGACTATAGCAAGGCTATGAATGCTAACCCGTTCATCTTGGACATTAAGCGCAGTGTACCGCTCCAGTCAAGAGCGATATACTATCCCCTATTTCCAGATACAGGGTAGTCAGGCTCCTTATCTATTCCCCTTGCTGACTACCTCACCCCGCCTGCGCCGCGCCCCCTGGATTTCGCAGGAAACGCACAGACCAAAGAGTGGAGGCAGCCCGGGAATTAGGAATCTCTGTTTCGTAAAGCTGACCACAAATTCATCCCCCACTCTTTTTCTCCTTTATTCCGTTTACCTGTCTGTAGTGCTCATACCAACGCGAAGCTTGAAGCTGAAACCATCGACTGCACTCTCTCCTTGTTACGCCAGTTGAGCTTTTGCAACTCACTCGCATTTCTCTTCCAACCATGTCGGAAACAACAGGTTTGCCATTAAAACATCTTCAGGGCTCCCCGCCCGGGACTCCCGTCAACACAAACAACGAGAGTAACGAGGCGTCTCCTGACGATGGATGCCGATTACCCGACACGGTGACTGAAGCGGAAGCTTCATCCGACAACCACGGCTCGGTTTTGGGCGACAATAACAGGAACGTTGAGGTTGCAGTTGGTGCGTCAGATAATGCGACCAAACAAAAGGTGTACCATACTGGTTGGAGGCTTCATGCTTTGACTTCAGCGTAGGTTATTTTCGCCTAGTCGCCCTTACTTCACAGCTGATTGGCATTGACGTAGCCTCTGCTTGAGCTTATTGCTGTCGACATTGGAAACTACCATTGTAAGCACGGCTCTGGTCTCAATCGTTGATGCCCTCCATGGCTTCAATATGGCCGGTTGGATCGTGACATCCTACTTGGTAACATACACCGGTATGATCCGAGCCAACTTTACTCTCTTGTCCAAGACCAGTATAGGTACTAAGAGATTTCAGGTTTCCTCATCATCTATTCCAAACTCAGCGACATATTTGGCTGTAAACTGATGCTATTGCTTGCGATCACCATATTTACTGTCTTCTCTATGGCGTGTGGTGCTTCTGACTCCATGGTACCTCTGTATGTCAATTCTCTCTCTTCATGCCAGCCTCGTGCGCGTTCTCATCGTCCATCTTTACTCTAGGATCGTCTTCCGCGCCTTCCAGGGGATGGGAGGCTCCGGTATCTACTCTTTATCGACAATCATGGTACCGCTCATGGTGCCTCCAGAGAAATACGCAACCTACATCTCTATCATGTCGTCAACCTTTATCCTCTCGAGTGTCCTCGGCCCAATTCTTGGAGGAGCAATCACAGATCACACGACATGGCGTTGGGTGTTCTACTTCAAGTGAGTCCCATGTTCTTGAAGGCACCTTGCAGTGTAGACACTGTTTAATGACTCATTACCTGTAGCGGCCCTGGGGGAGCGCTTGCGGCTGTTCTTCTCGCCTTCTCGGTCCCATTCAACTTTCCATACGGCGAGTCCGATCGATTCTTTCACTCCCTCGCATCGAAACAAATGTGGAAGCGGGTTGACTTTGTGGGTATGACTGTGTCATTAGCTGCCTCCATCCTTATCATCTTTGCACTCGAGCAAGGCGGTGTGGCCTACCCGTGGGGTAGTGGTGCTATTGTATCAACCTTTGTACTCTCTGGTGTTTTGTGGATTGCCTTTATTGCTTGGGAGCGACTGCTTTCCAAGAGAGACGGTGTCCGTGAACCCATGTTCCCGTGGAGCCTGGTACACAACAGGTTTGTCATGGGGCTACTCTTGTAAGTCTACAGTCAGTCAATCCCAAGTTCTCGGTCAACTAATTCGGCTTCCGTCCAGGAACGGTTTCTTTACCGGATTCCCCTTTATGGCTGCTCTGATCAACATACCGCAAAGATTTCAAACGGTCAACATGACATCAGCTATCAACGCTGGCATTCGCACACTGCCTCTACTTCTCCTGTCTCCCTTGGCGACTGCTATTAATGGGATATTGGTCTCTAAGCTAAGAGTCCCTCCTCTCTACACGCTCTTCCTCGGGGGGTCACTACAGACAATAGGAGTTGGCCTATATAGCTCCTTAAAATCATCAACCTCTATTGCCTCGGCGCAATATGGCTACGAGGCTATCATGGGCCTCGGTTTCGGGTTCAACCTCAGTACAATCCTGATGATGGTGCCGCTAGTCGTTACTGAGAAAGATCTAGGTACGACTTACCAATTCTACTGCTAGACCATTAATGTTTCTCAGTTAACATAACCTCAGCTGTCACAATGGGATCTGTGACACAGATCAGAGTGTTGGGAGGCACAATCGGGCTCGCCGTCTGTTCCGCTTTGCTCATCAACCATATCAAGCGAGAAGCTGTCAAGTTCTTGACAGCAGAGCAAGTTGCACAAATACTGCTGTCCTCAGAGAATATTGGGATGCTCTCTATCGAGACGCAATCTCGTACAAGAGTTCTGTATGCAGATGCCTACTCGGAGCAGATGAGGGTAATGCTTTACTTCTCCATCGCATCTATCTTGTCATTGGTGCTCCTTGTTGAAAGACAGCCAAGGAAGGCTCCTGCTAAGCCTGAGAGAGCAGGATAGTATCATAACTGGCCCTTCATATCATCGAAAGTTAGTAACCAGAAAACTGTCTTCTTATAAATAAGCAATGTCTCAATGAAGCTCCTGATGTAATGTCATGTGGTATAATCAGGATTGATTTCTCAATTGTTATATACTTAAGAGTAAAGGACTTAACATATAAGATAACCAATTAAATGAGCACTTGCTATGTATCTATGAGTTTTTGCTGGTTTGCCTGACCCTGAAGAGCTTGTTGAGAATATATTATTCGATCCTTACTCAAACTTGACAAGCTTCATCGATCCATCACATGCGGCAGACCCCAACAGACTCTGCAGAAGAGCAAGATCTCTAAGGGCTTCCAGAGGACTCTGACGTGGGTCTGGGCTATTCTGCAATATGGCCTGGCAGAATGCCTCAAATTCGGCCTTGACACCATTGTTGTAGATGAATTCCTTTTTTTCATTCATTGACTCCCCAGAATCTGATTTGATGATTGATGTGACACTAACAGGTGTCCAAACAATAACACCACGAGTACTGATAATTTCGATCTCCAGAGTGGATATGTGTTCTACCCCAAAGGAGATGCAAACTGTTCCGTGTCGAGAATCAATGGTGGATACGACAGCGTGAATAGTATCAACAGGATGAAGATGCTCTTTAAGCAAACTTGACAAGGCCATTACCTCCTTAGGTTCCTGCCCAACGGCACGTAGCAGAAGCCTGAGGCTGGCAATAAAGTGAATTCCGCTATCAAGAAGGAAACCACCTTGGAACTCAGGAGTCTTGCGCCCTGTAACCTATCAGTATTTGTGTCAAAGCTAAGCACAGTGCTTTCTACATACATTCGGTCTTGAAGTATTTGTTTTCCTTTCTTATCAATCCATAGTAGGTCAAACGGAAGGATGCAAGTTCTCCCCCGATTTCTTGGGTTCTCATCTCGGCATACCTCAGACTCTCATTGAATCGGAAATTCTCAGCAACGGCCCATATCGGAGGGCTGGACTGAGAACTGTACCATTGGACAAGGCCCATAGCAGTTGCAGTGTCCTGTGCTATCGGCTTCTCACTCAACACATGCTTACCGGCTCTCAGAGCTTTCCTGATAAGTAGGGGCTGGACTAGAATGGTAGCACATGCTGCCACTGCAGCTATGTCAGACCTTGCGAGGAGATCGTCAAGTGATCTTCCACTTGTGGGGGGGCTATCAAAGTAGATGTCAACCCTGTCCCGGGCCTGCTTCGCAAGCGATATTGCCGCTTCCTCAGAGCGTGAGTAAACGGCTTTGAGGTTGAGGTGTCCAACGGACTCAATAGCTGGCAAGTGTTCTGTAGCATGTCAGCGTAACATTTACTCAAAAGCTCCTCTGCAATGCAACCTTGCCATTGATAAACAGCTCAAGAGGGATCGACGTACGTTCTCTCGCAAAGATCCCGGCTCCAAGTAAAGCGATGCCGACCATATTGTAACAAATCGTCAGCATAAACGGCAGGTAACAGAAGGATAAGCTCACAGATGAAGTGCAGAGAGGGGCTGACAAGATATGATGTTGAGACGGATAGAACCACGCCCTGACGAATGACCTCTTAAGCGAGGTCCTTTTGATTTCAAAGCTTGTTGTCCGGGTACACGTAAGATACAGGGTTCACGGGTCAGCCCATGGACTGGGCCACGGGCTGTCTCCGCGCCCGGCCGAGTCTCATGTCTGATAAGACCGAATGTAACTGCAACCCATTTACGTCACTATGCATTATCTCATGCATCCAGATACTTTCCTCTTCCGCAACATCATACGGATGATAATCCTCCGAACCGTGAACGCTAGGCAACAATGTGATGATGTTGGATAAGATGAGCAGTGCACTTCAGTATAGCTACTTGAGAGACAAATTTCTTCATCTAGTACTTCTACAGATTAGCAACATATTTACAATAAGAATCAGAATCAAAAGGCATGGCTATAATTCCATGGAAAGCAATCGACGAAAGCCTCTCCCTTAGATGGAAGATTATTGTTACCCTCCTGGCAATCTACACTCTCCGTATCATAGGGACTCGCATCACAACAACACGAGCAAGGCGCAAGTTCCGTGAACAACACGGGTGCGCTCCTGTGACTTGCCAACTCCCACTGAAGGACCCCTTTTTTGGCATTGACTTTATCTTGAAGCTGATGAGGGTGTTCAAAGAAAAGCGACTATTGGAAACCTTTGCCAACGACTTTTACAAGACAGTCGGTATCACATTCCTAGTCGAGCGTGGCTCTCAGCAGACTATATTCACGATCGACCCCGAAAACATCAAAACAGTTCTTGCTCTCAAGTTCAAGGACTATGGACTTGCTTTTAGAGCTCCATTGTTCAATCCCGTCACAGGTGGCGGTATGTTTGTTTCCGATGGAGAGGAGTGGGCGCACTCGCGGGCTTTGATGCGTCCAACCTTTGCCCGTGACCAAGTGGCCGACCTTGCATTGACAAACAGACACGTCACAGACCTTGTGTCGAAGATTCCTATCAATACAACCTTCAATTTGCAGGAACTTCTTTTTGACTTCACCATGGACACTGGCACTGAATTCCTCTTTGGCGAGTCTACAGATACACTTTGCAATCCTACTAAAGCAAGCCAAGAGTTTACCAAAGCCTTTGACTTCACTCTCAAAGATGTAGCTTATCAGGCAAGATTGGGCCCATTACGCCGCTTCCAAGGCTCTCGAAGCAAGGCACTTGAAGTCTATCAGGTATGTCGGTCTTATGTCGAACGTTATGTCGATCAAGCTATGGCTCTTCGCACATCGACTTTGACTGGGGAAGTAACAAGAGAGAATGAACCTCAAAACCGACATGACAGTCTGTTGAGGCAGCTTGCTAGATCGGGTGTATCGAAGGAAAAGATACGCGCAGAGCTGCTAAGCGTCTTGATAGCTGCAAGAGACACCACCTCGAATCTATTGGGTAATCTCTTCTTTGTCCTTGCACGAAGACCAGATATCTGGACCAAGATTCGAGATGAAGTTAAGCATCTAGACACAAATGAACCAACATACGAGCAGCTTCGCCATCTCACATATGCTAAATACTGCATCAACGAATGTCAGTGTTATTTTTCGTCCAAGACCCTCGCTGACATGACTTTAGCACTACGCCTCCATCCTCCTGTCCCTAGTAATGGCCGTATGGCATATCGGGATACGATTCTTCCCCATGGTGGTGGCCCAAATGGTGATCATCCTATTCATGTTCCAAAGGGCTCCATGGTAAATTACACTGTCTACGCCATGCATCGTCGTAAAGATCTGTATGGCCAAGATGCTGAGGAATTTCGTCCCGAGAGATGGGAGTCTCTCAGACCGTCATGGGTAAGTTAAAGCTTTGGATCATGGCTTTGCGAGAGGTTAGCATAACTCTGATTATTTTTAGTTCTTCTTGCCTTTCAATGGGGGCCCACGCATTTGTCTTGGTCAACAATATGCCATCACTGAGTCTCTGCTGGTCATAATGCGATTTGCTCAAGAGTTCACATCAATTCAATCGATGGACGCAAAGCCTTGGACTGAAGAGATTGCGCTTGGGTGTGGCAATGCTAATGGCGTCTATGTTTCATTCCAGAAATTAAAGTAAGAATGAGTATAAGAGAACAGAATATAGTCTTATCACTACTTTGACCTACAAGAGAAATATAAAGATAGCTACATTGCTCTTATTATATTCTCACTCTCTTATTACCCCGCTTCTCTGGAATTATTCTTAAATTCCTCCTGAGACAACGACAGGTTACAGTAAAGCCACATGCAGTGGCTTTCGTTAGATCTGTAATTGTATTTATTAGTCTGTGTTATATGGCCTAGAACTCAATAGTTTGTCAATGTCTCAAAACAACTTTTACGGTTTAGTCCATTTGCGCACAAGCTTGCCAATAGCCTCTTCTCTTTTTGGTAATTTATAGCTAGCTGAAGTATTCTCTAAATGAGTCTAGGCGAGTCTAGGCGAGTCTAGCTGGGCCACAGGTCTTTTTATGTCTAGAGCTTTCTATATCCTGCAGAAGAACTCCTATTACCTAGACTTCTTATCAGCATAAAAAGAGCGCTGCCGATCTACTATCCTACCGCTTGTGGAAATTCAAACATCGTTAAGCATTTATTTCACTTATGACAATGGAGAACATGTATGTCATTGATATTAACAATCAGACTGGTGACTTCCAGCAATACTCTCTCATCGCCGCCCCACCCAAAGTAACCGGCCCATCCACTCCAAAAGTTTGGTCAAGCGTAGTCGCTTGGGTACAAGCAGGTGGAGATCAGGGAGCTGCCTTGCTTGCTCCTAAACAGCTTTTAGCAATTGCTGGAAATTCCCATGGCCCGCCTGCTTTCGGAGTCGGGGTCAACGTCTCTGTCAAGAAACCTGTCGAGCTGGGCAAATCTATCGAAATGAGCGTTAGAGATGGAAGACCTCACTTTGCCGAAGCTATGCCAGTTCGTGCTATCGATGCTTCTGCCTTTGAGATTAGGACGGATGGTAGTTTTACTGTCTCTGAGGCCAAAAATAGTAAGTTTGCTTTTCGATTTGTGAATAAATTAATAACTCCATTTCCAGTGAACTTAATCGTTGGCCTTGGAGTGTCCCAATCCGATGGAGACGACGAAGGCGAAGGCTTTACTGGCTCTTCCGCAGTATTCACACCTCAACCCAATCAGTGGTATAAGATGAAGCCCCAGATGGCCTTCTACCTAACTGCTGAGCAGTACGCACCAGGAAGTCTTATTGATATAACTCGTTTGGGAAGCTATGCTCTTGAAATTGATTTCAATAAAATGCCAGGCGTCGATCGTATGTCTGTTATACATAGACCTGATGGCAGGCTAGTCTTTCGTCAGTAGCCAGTATATATATATATATGTCTATGGCTTTATTCTTTTATATGCGGTTTTACTATACTTAATATATGCTTTGTTTTAGTCTTGACGTACCCTATTATCTTACTGGATAGATACAAAGAGCAAGACATCTATTCAGTACTCACTAGGTGCTCAATTTCAGCTTACAGTACGGTTGCCAATTCAATTAAAGTCAATTTACGCAATCTTCTGTGCTTATCTGCAAGCCAATCTTCTAGTGTTAATTATCCATACATGCTAGGTTTTATTATGGTCCGTTTTGACGATCTCACTGAAGTATCATAGGTTGCAGCACAAAGTAGCGACAAGTACTACCGTCACTCAGAGTACTAGCCCCCCTTCACATAAACCTCAAAGACCAAGTTCAAACACTCCTAATTACTTTCACTTGGGCATTTCTTAACTGCTTACATTCATACAAAATTGCTGCTGATGACAATGAAGATTAGATGCTCTTAGATGCTGTTTCTTAAAAGGTGATTTAGAACTTCATTCTTATTAGGCATAGCACTAGAGATAAGTGGCTGCTGTTACTGTAGTTATCTAGTCTATTACCAACAACTTATCAGTCATCTGGCGGCATGTCGCGAGATAGACTCGCCGTGATATGATCAAGAACTCTGAATTTAACTTTATTCACCAACTCATCCTCATCAATCTGAAGCTTCATGGCATTCAACTCGCTGGTCAACTCGCCCATGTCCTGCCAGACTTCGGAGAGGGTAACGTCGGTATGCTCCTCTAACTCCCGAACCCTCTCGCTCGTCAATCCGGCCAACGACCCAAGTTCCTCTTCCAAGTCTCGACACTTCCTCTCAGACGCTATCAATCGGTCGCGCAGATCATTGATCTCCTGCTTGAGATCTCTGTTCTCGTCCCTGAGCGCATACAGCTCTTCACTATGACGCTTCTGTATCATCTCAAGCTTGGCCCAGATCAGCGCGATGTCGTCGTCTCGTTCTTCGCGATCATCTTTTCGCGGTCGCTTTCGGTCATAGATTGGAGCGGGAGGTGGAGGAGGTTCGGTTTCGTCATAGGATGGCGGAGGTAATTGTGTAGGCGATGAGAGGATGACGACCTTGCCTCCCGTGCCACGAAACATGGTTGTCAAGTCATCTTGGATGAAGAGGGACACACCCTCGCTGACGGCTTGTCGGATTTTTCGGAAATGAGCCTTTGATGCCGCTGAATTTTTGATGTAGATGGAAAACGCTGTGACATTTGCAAGTTCACGAAGGGCATCGAGGACAGTACCCGATTGAGTCCGTAGGGGAGATAGTGGTTCTTCAGCCTCAACAGAGACGATGAGTTTGGGATTCTGGTTTAAGCGGAAGTTGAGGAGGAGAGTACTCGAATGGAATTTGTCGCGCACTTCATCAGGAAGTGAAGGGGCTTCGATGAAGTCGAAGGAGGATATAAATGGTGGAAGGGCTCTAATGATCAAGAATGTGCCCGTCTTAATGCCCTTGAGTCTGATGGGAATGTTGATCTTGACTGTCGAAGCGAGTCGTTATGGTAGTATCTCTGATCTGAGGGTCCGGCTCGATTAAAAAACGCGTCATGTCGTTCCATTGCCACGTAACAACGGCCGGCGTTGTACTGTTCACATCGAGGCTCGATAACGTCGCCATATCCGATCCTGCCGGTTAGCAACGATCCATGAAGAGACACTCACCTACGCAACTAAGCCCCCTGAATCAGCGTTATCTGACAAGAAACTCGCCCCGTCTCCAGAACTGAGCTGCAAGCCGGACCAAGTTCCCTTGACAGTCCGCAACGAACCAACAGATATCCACCAGGAGAAAGATCAGCTTCTCGCAGGCCGGGCAACTGTTAGAGCTCCAGAACTTGAGCTGCAAGACATCAAACAGTCCCCTCCACAGGCCCCGATCGTTCCAGCAAAGGAGGGGTGCGCGCCTCGTTTGATGGGTACAATACGGAATTTTATACGGTCTGCGGCGCGAGTTCACTGACTTTCTCTTGGACGCGTTTCGGGGGGAGGGCTGTGTCGGACTCGACGCGATCGTGGGGAATAAAAGGAAAATGGCTGACGAGTTCCTTACGGAGAGAGAGGTGTTGGTATTGATAGGCCTCGATGGTCGAGGGTAAGGCTGTGACAATAGGTCATTGTAAGAGGATTTAGTAATTGCGTGAATGAGAACGAGAGGCAGATTGAGATTGCGAGAACAAACGACGGGGCGGGAAAACAGTTTATCCGCTGTGGCTAAGTGGGCTATGATTTTAAGCCATTGAGTTCGCTGGCACGCAGTCTAGGTTAGGCCAGTCTAGCTCCACCCTAGGGTTTTATTATTAGCTGCTCAGATACTGACGCTAATATCCAATATCCTGTCAAACGCACCCAACCTCTATTTTGACAACAAGTTGTTACAGTATAGTTAGCCGAGTCGTGGCCTAACCCATACTACAAGCAAGTTGCTGATACTCTGGAGTTAAAACATAATAGCGCGTATAAGTCGTAACATTCGTCATCAGCTATGTGCCCATCTCGAAAGGGGAGGGGCGACCGTGAGTCAAGATCCCTTTGACTACGGGTACCAATCCTTCTAAAATTGGACAGGTATACACCTCAGTACTCATTTTGAGCAGAGTAACGCTATTATGTAGTAAGCTGGTCCAAGTGATGCACTAGCCCATGATATACCAACTTAGATTCTGGGCTGGTCTATTGGAAAGCCAGCCCATTCAGTGCACTGGTCCATCTATTGTACTGGCCTTCCATGTGCTTAGTTAATTGCGGTTGCTAGCTCATTACGGTAGAATGGGAGGGAGCCGGACCTGTAGGGGAGGGGTAGTAGAGATGCCAGGAACCGTCCCCTGAAGTTCTACCAGTCTGGTAAAGTATACGCTGTCAAATTAACTACTAGGAATAACTATTTTAATTAAATCATGACTTGCTCAGACTCCGAAATAGAGCTGCCTGAATTGAACTGGTACTTAACGAGTCAAAGCTCTCAGACTCCCCATCGTCCAGAAACTGGCCGTAGATATGCGGGAGATCGTCACTGAAAATATCCCAAGGATCATTGGCACTCGAGGCAGCCGGTTACTCAGACCACTCGTTCCGTCTCCAAAGCCAGTCAACGAATTTCGGCTCATCAATCTTTTAAGGAGAAGTGATGTCTGGTGGTAAATCCTTGTTGGTTTGGTAGAGCGGATGCTGAGAAGGTCGCTCAGCCAATGTTCTTAGTTTCGCTGTCTCTGGGTTGTCGTTACCCTCAATAACCACCCTGGCAGCATATGCTCTCTCAGCAAAGATCTTTGCTCTTGCCTTATCGCCGTTCGCAATCGCGATTTAAAATACGTTATAGTAAACTCTTAGAACACCTGCATTACAGATGCCTTCCTCTTCTATTAAATAAAGTAAGGTATGCATAAGATAAAGTCCTATATTGTAATTAAAGGTAGACTCGCTAAGTAAATCGTTAATAAATTAGATTTTATAAACATTTCCTAAATGCTACCTATAAAAATCAGTAAGTAGGAATATACCTTTCTATATAAGTTAGTATATAAAGGTATATTATAAAAATGCTAATATAAGTTATAAGCTAAAAAATATAAAAGTATTTATATTATATAATAGCAATTTAGGTTTATATATAGTTATATTAAAATTATAAAAATATAGATTAATAAGCCAGGCTAATAGGTCTAGCTATTAAAAAAAGCTAATTATATTAATTAATTAATAATCCTTTAATTTTAGGTAAAATAAAATTCTTTTTATATTAAAAATATAATATAAAAATATATTTATTTTAGCTAGAATTAAATAAATATTATTAAAATTATATTTATAATTTAATATTATTTTTATTTTAGCTAGAATTAAATTATTTTTATTTCTCTATTTTATTTAATATTATTTTATTTTTATTTTAATTAAAATTAAATAAATTCTATTAAGGTTATATTTATAATTTAATATTATTTTTATTTTAATTAAAATTAAAAAATTTTTATTTTTTTANAAAATTTTTATTTTTTTATTTTATTTAATATTATTTTATTTTTATTTTAGCTAGAATTAAATAAATTCTATTAAAGTTATATTTATAATTTAATATTATTTTTATTTTAATTAAAATTAAATTATCTTTTTTTTTTTCTATTTAATACTATTTTATTTTCATTTTAATTAAAATTAAATTATTTTTACTACCCTTTACTTACTTTTATATTATTTTTTTTATTTTTATTTTATTTTATTATATTATTTTATTATAATTTAATAGAATATAGCACTTATATTATATATATTTTATAAAAACTTACTAATTAAATACTAACTTATATTATATTATAAAAAAATAATTATAAGCTGCCTTATTAACTTATAATAAACTTACTATTTAGATTTATAACTTACTATAAGCCTATTTTATTAAACTATAAGCTATTAATATATATATATATATATTTAGCAGTAAATAAAACTTAACTTACTAGCTATTAATAATACTTCTTTACCTTAATAAGCTTTATATAATAGTTAGATTTCTAAATAGGTAAACTAGTCTATATTAGGTTTATATTTACAGGATATATAAGGCATTATACTAAACATATTAATAAGATATTATATCTCTTAATAGTTAATAGTACAGATAAGGCTTATTAAAGTAAAGAAATATTATTAATAGCTAATAAGCTAAGTTCTATTTAATACTAAATAAATATATATATATATATTATAGTAATTATAAAGAAGTAATATAATATAAGGTTATTATTATTTCTAAAGTAATACAGTCTTAAAGTGCTATTAGTTTTAATCTTATTAGTTCCTTATCTAATTGGCTATCTAAATAAACTTAAGGTAGAGTTTCTATAAGGTATATATAATATAATTGCTAGGGTTATAATATAATCTCTTCTCTCTAACAGTCTTATCCTTAAGGCCTATTATCCTAATTAATACTAGTTTTCTTTTAGTAGGTTTTAATTTAAACCTTTTACTATTATATTTTATAATATCTAACTATACATTTAAATAGTTATTTTATAAAGACTATAAAATCCAAATGCTTATATTATTTATTAAGTTTTTTCATAAAAAGGCTAATATACTTTATACTTATTATTTTTAGATAGGCAAGAAATACCTAATATCTGCTAACTCTACTTACTATAGTAAGTATATTTAGGCTAAAAAATCCTATAATAGTACCTATATTACTTCTTCTTATAAGCTCCTTTTTTCTATTAAGCTTTACCTTACTAATTATAGCAGTTATAAATTTAATAAAATAAGAGAAGAAATTAAAAAATACTAAAAATAAAGTAAATAAGAATCTCTTTAAGCTTTATAAAGAAATAGCAGCTTTATAATCTTATTTAGCCTTAGCTATTAGTTACTTATTGCAGATTTATAAAATTTAAAGTTATATAAAGGAAAAATATTTAGAGGCTACCTATTATAATCTCTAAAAAGTAAATTAGTAAAATATAATTCTATCTAGTTTAGATATATATAAAGATATATTACTTTATAATCTCTAGATAGATTATATTTCTAATAATATTAACTAGTCCTCTTTAGGTTTAAGTAATAATTTCCTTAATATTTCTCTTTTATTTAAATTTAGTAAAAATTCTTTTATTATAATATACTATTAAGGTATAGCTAAAATTAGTATTAAATAGTATAAACTTTATACTTTTATTATAGGCAGTATTATAGGCTAGTTAGGTATATAATAACTTTTTAACTTAATTATTTTATTTATAATTAATATAATACTATAGGTATTACTTTATTATTTAATTTATCTATTTTATTTATCTATTTACTTAAGGTCTAAATGCTATTATAAGTCTATAATTAATTCCTATATATATTATTAAAGTCTTCTAAAACTTATTAATAAAGGTAATACCTCTATTTATTAGGATTTCTTTAGGTATTTCTCTTTTCTATATTACCTTATTATAGAAGATATAGGCTAAGACTTCTATATCTATTATTTCTCTATAGGGTATATAAATTAAGAATTTTATAAGTCTTTTAATAATAATTAAAATATTATTATAAAAGATTTTAATTAAAGATTCTTTAGATAGTAATAACTTAATAATAAA